GAACCCATTCTGGTGATGTTCGGAGTGGGCCGCTAGTTCCTCCTGTTGGCTCATGTTAACTCACAGGTCTCGCTTTGGTCAGACCTGCAATATCGTGTGAGGCTGCAAAGTTGTTCGAGTAAGCCACTTGGATCACAGAAGTCGGTAGGTCTCTACAAGATGACCTGTACCAGCTTGCCATTAGTTGGCTAGCTAAGTAATGGCAAGCTGGTACAGGTCGTCCCACCAAGCCCGAATGCGCTCTCATTTTTTGCAGCAGTACATTTTTTTTGCACTGGACTTGGCTACCATGCATCCAGCATACCATCAAGACGGAAAACCTCAGACTTTAATAATCAACAATCGCTGCGGAAGCGCGAAATCGACTCAAGAAATTTAGCAGACTACCGTAACGGTATGGCTAAGGTTCTCTCAGAAGCATCCGCCTTCGACTATCATTATATGGTGACAAGTGTTACTAACATTACTGCGTAGGCTTTTTCGTGATAATTCTTGCAATATTCAATTACGTTTTTAATCAGGGCTGTATATATGGAGCAAGCAGTGATGCCTTAACAAGTATCCATGGCAGGTGTTCACTGAATATTGTTACCTACATTGAAGTTTACTGTGGAAATATCCAGACGCTGTTGTTTTTCTGATTCACCCGAGCCAGAAAGCTGCAGACGCTGTTTGTAATACAGTCTCATAAGCTGCAAATGTGGGCGTGTCAAGAGAGAATAGGCTTGGCGCAGCGCCAACCCGTTTTTGTCTTCTTTTCTTCCAGAAACCGATAAAGTTTCATATTGTTCGTATCAGCTTTTTCACCAACTGTTGTCACTTACCCTTTCCAACAATTGCTGAAGAACGGACTGGCGACGCGCCAGCCTCACTGGCACGCTCAGCATCAAACAATCCGTATATGCACTGCGTTCGGTTAGGGAATGTCTCCACTCTTGCAGCCCTGTTAAGTAATGAGATTTTTCACATTGATGAATTTCATTGTGCAGGTTGACCAGCGGGAGCAGTCAGTGCTCTATTTTGTTTCGTTGCTGCTACGCATCGTTCGTGAAGTGGAAGAGCTTTGAGGGCACGGCAACTACACTGCTGTTTGTCTCTGGGAGCTGTAGTGTTTTTTGTTACAACGCTCCACTATAGGAGCTGCTAAATTCTGCAACTGTAATAGCTTTTAGAATAAACAAACAAGGATCTGAAGTTCCAAGTATAGGACTGCCACGTCCAGGGAGTCCCATTGACGTAATGATTCACCATGTACATATTAATCTGCGGAATTTGAGCGTGTTTAATATCATTTGGGTGACATGTGTAGGAGACCGCTTCTTGTTTCGTGAATAAATTCTTTTTCAGAAGTTGCCCAGCGAATTCGTAGACAGAGATGGAGTGGCTGATAAGAGCTGGTGGAAATCCCGAAAACGTGACTAATTATGACTGCGTGTGAGTCACTCCAAGATATTTCTCCATACGTTACTTCAATCGTCGCGAATTCGATCCATTTCATTACATCAATTCTTCTTTCACAAATGAACCGCAATTTTGAGAGGTTGAATTCCACGTCGTTGTCAAGCACTACCGATCTTCTTTCTCTACCCACAATCTTCCTTGACCAACTTGCTTGAAACACAAAGGAAAGGATGAAGGAGAAAACCTCTACCGCTGCTCAATCTCGATCACTTTCTGGGTTACGGCACGTACTCATTTTTCATTCTGAATCGCAGCGGCATTTTGAATGCGATTGAGCCTTCACTATTATTTGCGAGGCCCGCCAACGAAAAAGTTAGCGTTTTTGCCCTTCCAAACAAATCTGGCCCCGTATTACCGTTTCCGTAGAGTAAAAGACTAGAATAGCTGAGTGGAATCGGATTCGTAATTTGATCCTGATTCGATATGATACTGGTGCTTGTCACTAAAGCACCACCGTCCTGAAAAAAAACTGGGATAATGGACAAAAATACTTGTAAGCTATATGTCTTGTGTGTGACCATTGAGTGCCCCATCGTTAGCACTGATTGCTAATATTACACTTCTCATTCCACGAATATCATGAGAGAAGTGAGAGGCGAAAATAGTTACCAGAAGAGAGTTCAAGGAAGGAAGCTGTAGAGTTGTCTGAATGCTCACTAATGTTGTCAGAAACAGCTTGTTTTGCTTGAAATGGGCAAAATGCAATAGAATGAAGTGTGAAATATTTTTCATTGCAGCGTTACAAAGAGGTACGCTTCTTGTATGCATCAAAGCCCATGTTCTCAACAGCATCTCTGCGAGATACGTAATATGTAGCCCTACGGTAATAGAAGAGAAGGTATTCCCTAAAGGGCAAAGCTTCTAATGATCGTGTTTTATTCATTTTGCAATAGAAGAAATTCTCCAAAGCTGTTCAAAACTCTAACTTAACGAAATGCGCTTTACAGAGGTACGAGACGTCAAAGCGGTAAACCGAATTACGTTATTGGCGTGTGCTTCATCATCTACGGACTCACGGCTGAGGTTAGAACTGTTTGAGACAATTTCGACATAGACAGTTTTTCTGTCCTCTACGCTAATAAGGCACCTACTGTGGAGGTAGCTTTTCCGATTTTCGAATGTGGAGGCGCAACTGCAGGGATATTAGCGGTACTGTTGGATTCACATAGGTGCAAACCTCATGACGGGTTCAGACGTCTGAGGGACTCAGAAAGGTTGTATAAGATCTCAGTTCACATTTTCTACACACTCCACAGCTTGGGTACAGCTCCCAGCCTGGGACAGTGAAGATGTTATTTGGCTCTTCGGTGCTGACTACCACTCTGCTTACCATGATTTCCTACAGAGCGACACGGCCTTAGAAGCTACCCCATTAGATTTCCCCAACAATGATGTTTGCTAGCTTACCTGGGAAGGAAGGCACATCAAAATAGCTGTTGGGAAGAAAATGTACAGAAAATGTACAATTGATATCGTGACATTCAGTCGGAACGATGTCAAGAGGCACGGAATGAGAGCATCGCAGGTGTTCTTCACTGCTTGTTTCCTTCCAGGATTGATCACCAACCAATCACTACTTGTAGGAGGACACGTCCTGCCGCTGGGGAAAAGTTTCGGAAAGTAGACATGCCCACTAATTTTGTCCTCTGATACGACCCCCACCCCCTTTTCCATCCTATCCACTACTTTCCTATATTCCCACATTTTCTCAACTTTCTACCACTGTTCCAATTTGTCCGTAATTCGAAAATTTTCCGTTTTCCTCCAACCACCGAGACAAATTTTTTCCCAACGCTGCATATTTCTCTCAAAAGCAAGTACGACCCCTCCGCTCTCCCAACAAAGAGCAAACACGACCACCTCCAAGAAACGAGAAAAACTAACTATCAAAGAAATGTTCTCGGATTGAATACGACCCTTCTCCCCCCGCGACCGAATACGATTCCCGCGGCACCCTTCAGCGTCATCGTCCCTGTCGACGGACAAGGATTACGAAACTGTCTCCCGCATCTGCCCTTTCTAAAGAACAACCAGGAACTTTTTTTTCTAGAGAGATTATAAATGTGCTGCGTGACTCAGGTGATGCTTTTAGCCACATGCCTGCAAATGAGTTGTAATCTAATGTAGTTTATCTCACGTTCTTAGCAGCTGGCCGTATTCACCTTGAATGTGAGCCAGATTTCTCTGAAAAGAGCCCCCGCAGCACAGATAAGAGAGGTGCGCAGGAGATTCAGAAGACGGATTTATTATCATTCATTTCAAACGACTATTCCAATCCACCACGCCCCTTGTCACGAATGGCCAGTTGTGAGTCACCAATACAAATGAAAAAAGGGGAAAGACACGAAAATGGAAAATGGAGGAAAAAAGCAGAAACCATTAGCAGGAAATGCCCTTTATGTAATCACATGTCGAAGCGCGTTCGTACGTGCATAAGGCGACGGCTCAACATTCGTGATGAAGAAAATAAGGAGTGAAGCAACCGTCCCACCATTGGGGCAATTTAAAATGAAAGTTGGGCGTTGCCAGGGTCACTGGGTGGGGCCGCGGCATCGTCGCGTGCAAGTCGCGCGTTCCTCGCGTATCTTTGAGCTGCTTGAGTGGCACTTTCTTTCGCACGCAGGATCATGTCCAAAGAAGGAACCTGAACACCAAGTAAACGGAGCGTGCCTCCAATTTGCAAAGCACTCAAGACTGGAACTAGGGGAACTTTCTTATCAGCAGTGCGATAAGCGAGTTTTCTCGTCCTGGAGCAATTTCTAGAAGCCTCCGCAACATTTCTATTCCTAGTAAAAATGCAGTTCAAAGGACCCCTCTAAAATTAGCACTTTCTCAACAAAAAGTTCACTTGCTTCTAGATGAACTTGCCAATAGATGCAGGTGGAGCTTGGAGCCTCCAGAAATCAACTATTCGATCGCTTGTTGAATTGAAGAACGTCCACGAAATGATCAAAGTATCCAATAAATTTCAGCTTCTATACGTTTTGGTATTACAAGTCATCGTAAGGAAGCAGTATCGTCGCCTCTCGTGCTACAAAATCATGCTTCGTCCTAGGTATGTTTTCTGGCGTTGTTCGTCACACCGAATATCTCAAAGGTTTAATTGTGGGAGCTTCTTTAATTTTTCTCACACGGGTACGGTATTTAGTTTCATTGATGAACACTTTCTAAAAGTAACCACAGTTACTACTGTAAAACCTTCTACACACGGAAAAATGACAGGAAAATGTTGCTTTTTACCAATTTCATATGAAACAAGCACCGATAGCGCTTCCTGTATAATGTCTGAGGTAAAAGAAGTACTCGATATTTGATAATACCTCATGTTATGTTAGCTGTGCTGTCAAGATGGTGTAGCGCAAAATTGAGGTATACTTTTAAAAGTGCACATCACGGGCAGCTCCCGGCTTTTTCAGCCTTACCAGAATCTCTCCAAGATCTGATTAGAATGAGGCCGCTGCATTGGTCTCCGATATTCAGTAGAAGCACTATTCGAGGAAATTTTCTGTACTTCCACTCTACGTGTAAACTTAACTATCATGGCTTTTCAAGGCCTATACGATATGTGTGCGATCGGGGTGAACTCATTGCTGACCGGATACTTCTGGATGATCGGCGCAAACTACTGTTTAATGCCCCGCTTGATGTATGTCGCTGGATCTGCCGGGCTGGGTAAGCATCTTTATTCATAATAAAACCAAACTGAAAAGGTGCTTCTCCGATATCCAAGATCAGTTTCTTCTTTATGTTGCGAAGCACAATTTCAGTCTAAGTAGATAGCCAACATGCTCTTCAATCATGGTATAAAAATCTCTTTTTTACTGAAAATTTACTCTTCCGAAAGACAGCGCTAGGACTATATATCTTTCAGGCTGCAGTTCTGTAACGAACTATAATCTTCCGAAAAATAAAGCCCATCGCAAGCCGCTGAGTTCCTTGAGTGATGGATGCTATCTTTGAGCGGGTGGGATAAGGAAAGGGAGTTCCTTACTGCTAGATGATTTTGTCCCTAATCTTCCTCTAGATAGCAATCTTACACAATCTGGCTATTCCAGTAGTTACCCTCAAAGTTCGATGACCGAAATTCATCATAACGAGCTGCAAAAAAAGGTAGTATCCTAGATCCCCAAAATTTCCAGGTTGTTGATCGAAAACTGACGATGGTCACAACGCTATCTCCCGTATTTTATGGGGAAGTAGACTCACCACGACTCTACCTGCAACTGCAGAATCAGTTATAGGAAACGAAGACCAAGCAGTGAACACTCCCCTTCTAGCCTCTTCGGATGCACATGGCCTTTTCAGAATTTGCAGCTCAGAAGATTTCTTTCGCAAGGATTGTAACAACCACATTCAGTGCTCCAAAAAGAGAACTAGATGGCTTATGTTTATTTAGTCTCCAGGTTGGGAATAGTCATCGATCTTGCCGTAGAGATCAAGAAATCGACGGCTTAGAGCCAAATATACCGACATGTTGCTTTGCATGTTTCTCTCTAGGTTCATAAAATGCTTCTTCTAGATAACCAGAACAGAGTAAAAAGAAAAATAATACCTTTAGAAGGTGGCTATTGAGAGACTACATTAACTACTGCGCAATGTTTGATAGTTGCAAATATTTCAGGTTTATGGTGCGGCGCATGTATGATTTGCTTCGTTCTAGTCATCAATCGGCTGCTCGATCTTTGGAATAAGCAGGTGATGCAAATGGTAAGTGACTTCTGTGGCTTGCACGTCAAGCGATGACTCTGTGCGTTATGGGAATCGTCACTAATCAAAACTAAATGCCGTAATCGCATATTGACTGCTTTTCTTTACAGTTCAAGTTTTTTATCATTATCCCCTGAACAGGTATTTATTTTTCCCTACTACCAGGCAGGAAAAAAGAAGGAAAGTTCAGTTGGCTTAGAGAGGCGTCGGATCAGGTACCGTTGGAGCGACGCTAGCCACAATGTCGTTTTCACTTCTAACAAATTGAGGCCTTGGAGTCCTAGACGTAGCCCAGGTATGGCTGTGCATTCAGCGCAGAGAACCAGGCAAAAAGTCCATCAACTTTCGTTCTGCCTGTGAACGAAAGGTGTCCCTCCACAAAGGGTCATTTCAACTTCAGAACCATCCTTAGTTAGCTGACTCTTCATTTCTCTCATTTGCACCTATTAGTAACTTGTCTTGTTTGAGGAACTCGATGGTAACTAGGGAGAGGTAGAGCGCTAAGTGAATGTGAGCAGTAATAACCTGCGGTAGTGCTATATGTTGGTACAAGCGTCTTCATAAATATAAACACGTTAACTTTACCGGTTTTCATCACTTTCACAACAAGTCCCAATGTGTACAATTTTTCTTACTCGAAAGGCGAAAATGATGCTGTGAAAATTGTGTTTGAAATGAGGAGTTCAACAACTTACGTGAAAGTTAATTCCGTCCTTTTCAGCTGTTCAAGGACGCGCGCACCTACGTCGTTCTATTAGTCCCGTTATCCTACAGCCTCTATTTCATACTTTTCACTCAGCCTCTGTTGTTCAATTCGGATCACACAGCATGGTTCTTCAGCACGTTTGCTGATAAACATGGCATTGACGAGGTGTGAAAATTTTACAGTTTTCAAACTTCTTTTTCTCAGATATGCTAATTGAAAGCGGGCGTGCGTTGATAATGCCTTGGAAAAACTGCACATACCATGTGCAGGGTGGATGGGTTATCACCTGCAGTAAGGGGTGATTTTCCACACAAATGTACATGAGAGTGGGGTTGAAGGACAGTGGTATGCAAGTACCGTTCCCAGTTCTGGCTGCGCACGGCCAACCAGTGGCTTGAAAATAGCAAAACGCGGTTCTTTTCTGCGCCCTCTCACTTCTGGTTGTTCTCTGCCTTTGTTGCCTTGTCCGCGGCTTCTTTTATCTGCGTTGCCTTTACATGCGTCGCTGAGAGCTTTTGGTATTCACAAATACAACCCTGCAAAGGTCGGAATCCAAAAACGGCGCCCTGATATGGCAATCCTTGACCCTTATTTTCGCGTGGTGAAACTGCACGAAGAGTGAAACGTGAAGTACGCAAATAGTTCATTCTTCCAATATCTTGGAAGAACCGCTCTCGGAGACGAGTGTACAGCACGTGCCCAACTTCAACGGCCTGGATCAATAACCGTGTATCCCATTCACAGCTAAGAAAAGAATATGTAGAGTAGTTCAAATCAGCGCTGTAAAGCCTTCGTTCCATTGTTTCCTTAATCAGCTCAAACGTAAGTCATGTGTGATGATCTACAACGTTTACGGGGTTTGAGGCAAACTGGAGCACTGGAAAGTCGATAAGGTGTATCACAAAGAGCACGCCCCAGTGCTTCAAGTTTCGAGAGCTCTCAAGCT